ATTTWCTTTGACGCCAGGATCGATGAAAACAATTGGAGAGCGCCCATCTGCGGTGACAGCGGCCCAAGCCATTATTTGTGGCGGGTTAAGCAAACCCTATCGTTTTGAGAGTTTACGAATTGCTCAATTGGAAAAATTTTTTCGTCAGAAAACACAATGTTCGAAATTTGACCGCTTTCGGCCAAGCGAAGCAACTGCTGCGCTCTTGTTGCTGCTTCGGTGTGAGCTCATGGGCCTTTTGGAACTTGTTGTMATTTTTCAACATGCGTCGGATGCTGCGGAAAGATATTCACAGTTCTTTAGTCATTCGATTGGCATTTTGTCGTGGATTTCACTCAAGTCGGTTCTTCACTTTCCGAACCATCTTACGTGACATTGCAGTCTTTTGATGACCACCTCCATGGCGTTTTGCAATGTTACCAGTATCATTGTAACGAATGATGGTGCGATAAACAAAAACTTTATTCACATTAAGGTGTTTGAGCTCACGAACAATTGTTAGCTGTAATTTTCCAGCTAAATATTATATAAAGCAATCACACTATTACGTTTGAATTCCATCGCTGATAACTTCTTTTTGCGTTCACTTTTGGAAAAACGCTTTTGCACACTTGTGARCAATACTCCGAACTGTCTGTCAGCAAATTTATGCTGATTCCAGTGCAACAGCTGCTCGAACGGTATGAAGTTGAACCCTGTATATAAAGGGTRATCCATTTCGAGGTTTCCTACTTTTTTTTTAAGGAAAATACACAGAAACTTCMAATTTAATGGCGAATGTTTATTRCTATTCAAAAGAACATTCTCTGGCATTAATTTTTCAAAGATTATCTCAGATATTCTATCCGTTGAGTCTGATTTTGGATGACTCATTTGAGCATTTCAACTGGTAACCTGCAAAGGACAAAGYTTTGATTAAAGGCTTAACTCGAAGCGGTATTGCCCGCATAGTCTTTAGACTTTATATATGCTCACAGGAAAGAAAAACTAACGTTTTGATATCACACGAACTTGGTGATCAATAGACCGTTCCAAAAATGAAATTATCTGCTGACGGAAATATTCTAAAAAATAAATCCATTAATTGATGTGTGTGAAGTGACGCCGTCGTAGTCGCCGTAGTCGATGATCATGGCGCAATAACGGTCGCCATTCTCAGCGGCGTCTTTTTTGAAGACATATGAGCCGGTTATATCAAACCTTTGCTTTTTCTGGATGAAACAGCAGCTCTTGAATCTCTTCAGGTTGATCAATGTCCCAAATGTGACAATTTTGCTTCTTTACATACACATTGAGCCAGAAATGGGTCTAATTTCTGAACAAAGTTTCGCATGAAATCGTCGAATCTTCTTGGAACTTTTCAAGAGCYCATAGAGTGAAACTATGTCGCTTGCGAAGGTCGAGTGACTTCAGTTCTTGTACAAGCTGTWTTTTGTACGCTTAATATAGATCTCGACCTAAAATGCGCCAAGTCGTTTCATACGCCAGTTGAAGTTGCTGCGACCGACGCCGAATCGACTCTCCACAGTCTTCGTGTAGATTCTGCTGCTACGGCTGCTATATTTTCTTCGCTGCGTGCTGGACGTAGTCTATTCGGTCGAATATTATCCAATAAGGTATGTTACGATTGGTACGTTCAGTAGGCCGATTTTATTGACCATAAGTTGAGCACATTCTTTACAGAAGGTAAATTTTCGTAATAAAGTTGAATAATTTCTAAAGGTTGTTCAGGTGTAAATCTTTCCCTGATGAAATACAAAACAATACTGAACAAAAATAATATGATAGRTTGATACGACCCCAGTGATCTGTCAAAAAAAAAAAACTCTTGAAAGAAGTACCTCTACTTGGACTATCCCTTAGTAAAGATGTAGTCTAGTTGTAAAAATTTTAATCGATATACATATGTACATAGAGATTGGGTACATCTATAGAAAAACGAAAAATYCCATTTTAGAAGAAGTGCTGGTTATTCGCTTGTCGGGGGTCTACTTGATTTCTTGATTTAAACAAATTTTTATTGGATTTCGTTTGTATGAACATTTTTCAACACTCAGCATCTTATGAAAAACACCATGAATCCAATTAAATAATATTTATAATAAAAAGTGGTTGCCCAAAAATCCCCAAGTCTCTCCAAATATTTTTATAATAACTTCAAAATAGCTATGCGTTAAAATTTTATAGTTACATATACATAAACCCTGGTCACATCGATTCGGCGTTGTTAATGGAACTTCTCAAATACACTGAGAAAAATCAAAAGCGAAACGGCGAGTACCAAAAAATAATAAACTCTCACCATTTACCAGAAATCGTAAAAAGGCCAAATAATAACTGAATGCTCGATGGCCTTAGCCGCGGTTATAAAATAAATAGATCTGGATAGTTTTCGTTAATTACATAGCATTTTAGATAGTTTTTACATTTTGAGGTTTTTGGAATATGACCTAATTATGTATGATTATATTGTAGCATTAGAAATTAATTTTTTTTAATGTCTTGTCGAAGGATACTTATAGAAAATGTAAAGTAGTATGTAAAATGAAGGGTCCGTTGTATAATATGTATAGTATATTAAAGCATATGCTATAGAGTACATAATAAATTTGCACGTGTAGAATATTGCATATATATTTTTATATAAAAATTCTAAAATTATATGGTAATTTGCTAATATGCAAGGGAGTCGAGGTTTCAAMAGATTTACAGTGATATTGTTCAAAGAAAGCAATTTTTGAAAACTCTATAACTACAGTTCCCTAAATTTCGATTTGAAACGAAAAATAATTGCTAAAAAAAAATCAGCTAAATGTTAATTATTTATTTCTACGGTACCTAAAAAATATTATGTATAAAAAATACGAGGYCTTCATTAAAAAATAACAATTTTCTTTAAATTTTCGCACTATGTGAAGATATCAGTTTAGTGACTGGAACTTCACTCAACATCAGATAGAGTGGAGGCAAAGAAAGAAACAAAAGAAAATTACTTCGAATTCGAAGAAAGAAAGAAATCARAAATCTCTTCTGTTATTGACGCTCAATAACAGTACTAAGTTCAATAAAAATAGTCAAATATAATAATTAGACCATTTTGAATTTTATAGCTGTAATTTTAGTTATCATCAAAACTATTTAGACAGTTATACACTCAATAATTATTGTATATGTATTTGGGTAGATATGCAGTGTTTGTTTAAAAAATATGTACTTAATTAACATACACAAAAGAACACGTTGGAAGTTAGCTTCTTTATAAGCAATATTTTTAAAGAACTTGCCTGCTTTAGCTATGCTCGCACTTACTCAAAGAACTTAAAAAATGCTTATGCATCACTATATTTACTTYCAAATATACATGCGTGCGTTACTATATAATATTTTTATATTAGSTTAGTAGCATATTTCTTCTATTTATAGCGGCAATAACTGCAACAAATTAGTCACATATTTGCATATATGCTAGTACTTAGCTATTTGCTTCACTTATGTCGTCGTAGGATGTGCATATGTACCGTTAAGTCGCCGTTTAGTTGTTGTTGCCATGTGTGTATGTCGTTAAACCYAAGCTGTTGCATGTTTAACAAATCCATCCATAAAGCATATACATATGTATGSGTAGGTTGCTTTGCATGTTGCCAATTTTTACTCTCACCTGCTTTTATAGTCGAATATTTGTGTTCTAATTTTACTATTTCTTAAATTCTTTGAATCACCAAACAAACAATTTTATACAGACACTTTTTATACACGATTTTAACTAAATATTGAACTGAGCATGTGAAATAGTTGCCTTAAATTGATTTCCTCTATCCAAAACCTGAAAATTTGCCTTCGAACTCGTCAAAAAAAACATGTTTGCCTTTCCTTTTTGTACATTGTCGTTACTTTTCCTCAAATTAATTCTTTTACACTTTGGTTTTTATAAGTTCTCTTAATTATGTTTGCACTAATTATAAAAATTTTAGGTTATGAGTTAAATAAAATTCCAACAAAGTTTAATTAATAAAATAAAATATATTAATTTATGACGTTAATTTTTTTTTTTTTTTTTTTTTTTTTTTTTTTTTTTTTTTTTTTTTTTTTGAGGAATATTCGCTTGTCTTTACTGATTAGCTCAAAAGGTGTATACAAAGATATATATATTTGAAAAACTATCACCTTTGAAAATAGCCGTCAAGTATATACTATTATATATATGTAGTTCATATCGTATTCCTGTCCGTACAATATTATAAGTCGAGCGACTTCAGTTCTTGCACAGCTGTAATATGTACACTTTCAATTGAAGATCTGGACGTAAAATGCRCCAAGTCGYTTCATACGTCATTCCGAGTTGTTGCGAACGGCGCCAAATCGACTCTCCACGATCATCGCGTAAACTCTTAGCTACGGCTGCTATATTTTCTTCACTGCTTCCCGGACGTGGTCTTATTACTTTGATAGCTAGTTTGAGAGCTATTAACATAAACAACTTATGGACCTCTTAAAATATTCTATAACTATATACTTTATATGGATTATATAATTCATAAAATATAAAAATTTCATACAAGCGATTATTCATTGTTTATTTTTTACAATAATTTTAGTGATATTTCAATAAAATATTATTTGTAATAGTTTCTTCAGTTATCCCAACTTAACGTGCCCAACAATGTTATCTCCAGTAACAATAATATAATGCAAACTGTTTAGTTTAATTTTTACTAGTTATCTTAAACAAAAACTTAAAAACTGATAATTTAATTTAAACATTTAAATTAAATAAATTAAAAACCAGGTAATTAGCAAGGAACACGTAGTAACGTAAAAAMACGCTCATACTATAATTTATAGCTCACGCATTGAAATTATAACCCAAAAATACAAAAATAAAAAGAAAACATGAAGCAAACAATATTAAAACTAAAATTGCAAGACATATTGATGAATTAAAAAAAAGAAAAAAAAAACATAATTTTTTGCGAGAATGCTGATTAGTGAATATCTTACAGATGATTTCCATCCAGCACCCACATTTACGCCGCCCGAGCTGCCCAAGCGGGTGCATGTGCGCGGATCAGTAACGGGTAATGAAAAGAATTCTACAATACCTATACTATTACACATACTATTCGCGCATACATACACGCACACACACAGCATAAGTTTCCATTCATCCGTTTACCGTCAAATCAGCATTATCGGTTTAATCATTTTTATAAATCWCATACCGAAACATTCACAAATTCATTTGAGACAAATATTTTCCAGTGGAAAAAAAGGAATTTTTTCAACATGCGCTAAATTGTAATTGCTCAACTTAAAAAGCAAGAAATAAATAATAAAACGAAATTTTGTAGACACCTACATGCACACGCTCTCGTATGAACAAAATGTAGTATCCACACAAGCCTCTAAGATGTGCTTCCTTTCTTTTGTTTCCGCATTTTTAGTTAGCAATTCATCATTTTTTTATATGTATAGAAAGTTTTTTGTTCATCACATTCTTACTTTGTTCCAAATTTAACATTTTCTGAAATTGTTTAATACAGAAACGGGTTCTTCAAGTATGGTAGTTAGCTATTTAATTAATTTTTGTTTAAACCTTCAAGTGAGCGGAAATATCCTTATAATTGATTTTAATAATATAAATAATTTTTATAGTTGGGAGTTTTTCTGTTGATCTTTATCTATAACCGTTTTTACGCTATTGATTTTAGAAAACTTTATACAATAAATTGTTAAAAGTATTGCTCAGCTGGAGCTATAATATCTTAACATTAATATTTTCGCATCTCTTTGATAATTTGTGGTTTCCATACCAAAAGAAGCCAATTTCTGAAACACTGTTCTGATGCGAAACATACAAATTAATAACATATTACGAAAAAGACGCACTGCGGCAGTCGTTTTTCTGGACTAGAAATATAGTTACCCCATCTCATGGTAATCACCAAGAAAATGTGTATCCTGAAACCAAATAATTGGTTGAGTCCAATTTTCCAGGACTCTTTCCAGCAGTTCGACCGATAAATGGCGAATGGTACGTGTGATGCTTGCTCCAAGCCCTGTATCGAAGCGGGGTTGTTCGCATAGACTTTAGACTTTACATATCCCCAGTCTAATGGTTTGATATCACACGATCTTGGTGATCAATCGACCGGTCGTTGAAGTGTTCTCTCAATAAATCCATTGATTGTTGGTATGTGTGGGTAGTGACGCTATCTTGTTGAAACCAAATGTCGCCGAGATAACGAGCATTAATTTCGGGCAACAACTAGTTGGTTATTAGTACGCGATAACGATCGCCATTGACGGTTACGTTCTCACCTAGGTCATTTTTGAAGAAATATGGACCGTTGATTCCGTCGGCCCACAAACTACACCAAACCGCTGTTTTTTTTTTTTTTTTTTTTTTTGATGAAATGAATGCTCTTGGACATCATCGCTGACACAAAATTTTACTCTAAAACTTCGTATCTTGTTGGATCTTTTCACATAGAGCGAAGCAATGTCGCTTGATTAGGTCGAGCGACTTCAGTTCTTTCACAAGCTGTATTTTGTACGCTTTCAATTTAAGATCTTGACGTAAAATGCGCCAAATCGTTCCATATGTCAGTTCGAGTTGCTGAGAACGACACTGAATCGACTAACCACAATCCACACAATAGCGGACAAGAGTTAGATGACAGCTTGGCACGACTCACGCGTTATCTGTCCAAAAAAGGTTAATTTAAAAATTAACTCTACTTGGATCACACTTTATAAGTGAAAACCTAGAAAGGGTTATGCGCCAAAGTTGAGTTTACATAATTCGTAGGCTTTCAGACATCGATTACTTCTGTAATTTTTAAGACCTAAACCGGTGTGAATGTAAATCTGATTTAGATTTAGATTTTTTGTTTGATAACTTTTCATTTTGAAGCTTGGTTTTCTCTTTAAAAATACATTTTTGTACTTTCAAATGTAATTTATTCTTAGTTAAATATGTTTATATACATTTTAAAGTAATTAAGTAGTTTATCTCTTGAAATTTTGAAATTAAATTGAATTTTTTTAGAAGTGGAGTTTTGAGAAATATACGAAAAATCATGGGGTTTTTATATTGAGGTTAGTTTTACAATTACATCAACTTGTATTATATTTTTTTTCTGTAGAGAATTTTTTAATTTATTTATTCACACAATGTTCATTGAATAGTGATAACAAAAAATTAAAATCCATTAACAAGTTAAATCAGTGTCGTGTTGTAGGTAGCATAACCCTTACCTACCAGGTACTATTCAGTTACTTGTATGTTTGTAATAATTTCTTTTGTTTTCCAATAAGTCTAGAACCGGTTACTCACATAAAAAAAAAGTAAATACATTTACCGTTTAACGTGTGTGTCTACTATAAATTGTAAAAACAATAATAATAACAACAAATTAGTGATGAGAATTTCTCTTTATACGTGTGTGTATTAACTATGACATTTACTCGTTCCACTACTTGTATAAGTAAATCAATTACTACTATTCGTACTTGGTACTCATTACTGTATTTGAAATAAATATTTTTTAACTTTTTCACTGATTTACTTTCTACTATAAATATACTATGAATTATGCTTGTTAATTACTATTTCAACTAAAAAAATCGTAAAACTTGTAATTTCATCTACATAACTATAAATGTATGTGTATATACAAGTACTTGTTGTCACTACAAATCAACTATTTCATATAACTGTTACATAATTTCTTTTGTGTTTGTGAAAAAAAAAAACATTTTCTCTACATATACTTGTATTACCTTATACTCACACACTTTCTAGTACACTTTTTTGTCTCTCTCTTCTCTACATAGAACTGTCCTAATTCGTGATTGAAAATACAGTATTTAAATATTTATAGTTTAATTCAATAACCAATAGTTTCGAATATAATTCTTGTATCGTTGAACGAAATAGTCACAAAAGAAGTGAAAAGTTTTAAACACTTGAAATAGCCAGAATGTAGTCCAACGTATTTCCAAAACTAATAAAATATATGCTAAATGTACTATATATGTACAACAACAACTGCAATATGTCAGTGTTCACGCTCAAACGCTAACTTGCAACAAGAAAAACGAAAATAAAAACCAAATTAGTAGTTTTTGGCACACGAAAAACTGCAGCAAACTGCTAAAACATAATAATCATCTGGTACTGTTTCATTTCACATGCTTTTTAATTACTTATATTACATACTATTTACTCACTTACTTATATATGTTTGTAGTGTCGCTACAAAAGATAACAACACAACCAAATTATATTACACACGCGTACAAAAATGTTTGAAAAATTTACCTTTCTTTTCAACCTAATCGCCGCAAACATAACAAATGCCCATTTTCTAAAGTTCGTTTTCTCTTTTGTATATACTTTTTTTGTTTAAAACGCTTTGGTGGTGATTAGGTGACATGACACGCGATAGAGAGGATGTGAACCGTAAGTATTTATAAAGTGTTGTGTTTTGTTTAAATGTTCGTCGGCAGCAAGACCTCCATTCAAGTCAGCGGCATCTTGGGAAATTTATTATTTTGGATTGGGTGATGCACAATTAAATTCCAATCGTTGGGCATGCTTTCGTTCAACCCTATTTTACAAATAGGATGGTACATGCTCCTGCTTGCATCCTTCATGCTCGGTCAATGGAATGTCTCCGTCGTCATCGATTGGGTAATGCTTTCGCTACCATTCAGCAGGCAGCAGAAGTGTTCCCTACATAATTTCATTATGCTCTGGACATCAATAACTAGATCACCTCAGGGGATTCTACAAGACTTGAGAATCAAACGTCAGATATAAATTTGGGGAGCATTCACAATTCATTTGAAGTCGAGTTTTGATTCGCACTACATTTCTTTCCCGAATAGCATCATGTTGAAAATAAAAATTAATAACTATCCTCTGTTTTTACTATAAAAAACCGCGTAAGCTCACGAGAAGTTCATACATATACCCATATTTAAAGCATGAGTTCAATGTGACTATCCTTATAGGCGAACCCTGTAATGGGTTATCCAGATATAACTACGTTGTGTGGGCAGCTATTTTTAAAATAATTATCAAAATTGTTTTCCTAATATGTATAAGTAAAGTAAAGTAAATGAGTGATGATACAACTTTCAGCAACGGTTGTAGAACCATTATGACGGCTCTAACCAAGCACCGAACCCAGCATATGCAACCTTATGAGCGCTATGCCAAATTTAATCGATATTTAACTATTTTAAACTGATTAATTGCTTAGTTTTCTTAGATGTCGCTGACTTTAAAAGAGCAATCATATTCCCAAAATGTATAAAATAATCTTTACAGTATACGAAAAATCACAAAATTAAACCAGCAACTAGTGCAATACTACATACATATATTAATTTTAGTTGAACTGAGTATAAACCGAAAATAACAAGTTCAAGTGTTGCTACTTTCCAAACCAAAAACATATATTAATCAAACTAAATAATACTAAATAAAATTAAAAATAAATTGGCAACAAAGCCTTAAATATTAATGTGTATATGTCAAACAAGCTAAAGTCCTATATTAGAGGGTGTCGCAGAAGGATCGATAAAACTATTTTTCGGCAATAATTACACATTGTTAATTGTTATTATAATATTTAATTGCTATAAATTTGATTGCTTTGTGTTTAAAAATTTTTATTCTGAATTTAAAATTATAAGTAATTGTTATCACTAACCGAAAATTTAAAGTAAGTAATTAGCATGAGTACCCGAAAGTACAAAAAAGTAAAAAAACATTAAAATATATATATTTTATAAACAAATTCATCCATTTGTGAATTTATGAAATCGGATCCTAACCCAGCAACAATCATGTTGGAACTTAATAACTCGGAAATCGTATAAGACAAATCCAGACTACCTGTCTACGACATATTTCGTTATTTAAAGTAATGCAACCAAAAAACTATGGGTTTAACATGGAATTAATTTGAAAAGTTCTCATAAAACGTTTCGGTCTCATTGGGCAATCTTCTGAAGCGTATCAATAGTAATTTTAGAGTGATATTAAACTACTACATTTTGTATGCGAATAATTTTGACTTCACATTTTGCGGCACCCTCATATCATCACCTAAAATGCAAAATAAGGTAACATCACTTTTCACAAGCTGACGGGCGGGGGAAAAGCGATATAACAGAAACAACTCACATTGAAACAAAATTTGTGTTTTGGTTATAAAATAGTTATAAATTGGTTATATCTGACAGCGGAATCTAAAACTTGTATGCTACATAAATGTAATATGTATAATGTAGTGAATCGTAAGCAATAAAAACTCAAATTCGATTCTTTTGATGATACGTAGTTTTGCATTTTAGGTGACGCTATATAAATACAGCTAATCTAAGTGCAAAAACATTTCGAAAATATACATATTTGTGTATGGATGTATTTATGTTTTATGATTATTTGAAATATGTATGTAGACTAAAAAACCGTTACATTTCTATTTACAGTCATAAATCGCAATGGTCGCCGCACAAACGGCACCGGCAATGGTAGTACAGGGTTGCATATGAATTCAATAGCTGCGAAACAAGTTAACAAGGTGAAACCGACGATTAACCGACAACAGGTTGAGGGTCAGGTGATATCACCATCACAATACAACAGGTGAGTATGAGAAGATGACATTATAAATAATAAAAAAAAACCTCAAAAGTTATTATACTATACAATAAATTTATGCTGAAATGCTTAGATTATTTTTATGAAAAGGCTTTAACGCAAAACGGCTTTAAAAATAACAAACTGTTTGAAGTGAAAAAAATCAATAATTAATTATTATTATTACATAAATAATTATTATTAAATTAATGGCAACATTTATGATTGGTAAAATATCAATTATATATATATATATCTATATACATATATTAGCAAAAGTCAGCGCCTTGACATATACTATAAATATATATTTACTTTAAAGAATTTAGCTTAGCTGCATTTAAGCGCGCCCATTTTTCCAAATTGCAGTCCGCAAAGTGTTAGTTAGCAGTGCCCAAGCCTGTCTCTTATACACATCTAAAAAATTTAGCTTAGCTGCATTTAAGCGCGCCCATTTTTCCAAATTGCAGTCCGCAAAGTGTTAGTTAGCAGTGCCCAAGCAATAAATAATATTCATGTTACAAAACACCGCAATTTAGCGGTGTATAATGTTTAAGTTATATTATTTTTGCGCTGCGTACTTTCACTCATCTATAATTTTATTTATACTTTGCGCAAACTTCTGCAAAAATCATCAAAAATTTCATTTTGGCATAACATTTTTTTCCAGTGTAAAAAWTTTAATTTTAAATTTTTAACATCYAAGTTGTTTTCCGTTTTTTATAACTCTCTAACAGCAAGCGTTTGTAAAATATGCAGCTTATTGATTGTATTTAAATAAAAATTAAGAAAACTTACAAAAAAAATTGTTATATAATTACTTTTGTCTACCACAACTCTGAAAGTATGTTTCTCTACTAATGAATATATATAGTATACATGCATATATGTATTATCTTTGTAAGCAATGTCAAATGCAAATATATTTTAGCATATAATAACAATGATAATAAGAGCAACAAAAGCCAACACTTAATGAAAAATTTTGTTTCAGGCCGCCAGAAAACGATGCTAACCCATATGCGGGCTATCAACTCGCTTACGAAGTTAAAAAGCTCATGTATGCGTCCRTTCTAAACTTATAACAAATTTGAATGCTTTCACTTAAAATGTCACACAAAACATAGTTGTTGTTATTGTCTTTTTTCACTACTACTCTACAACTTATGTTTCACACTCTTATTCACCCACTTGTTCTATCGATTCTATCTATCTGTATATCGTCTTTGTATATTGTCGCATTTACTTGTATCACATGCAATATTTGCAATATGATATTGCATGTTTATATTGTATTCAATTTTTTTTTTCTTTTGTAAATGTGGGTGTCTACATCAGTAGGTGTGTAAATAATTTGCAATTACAATTATTTGAATGCACTCTCCAGTCATGTTTTGCAATTTTTCGTAAGTTTAATTACTGGTAATTTTCGTCGCTATATTTGCATCCCATTTTCAAATATCAATGCAAAAACAAAAAACACGTAGTTTTGTTTCGAAGAAGTAACAGAATATTTTTGCCTTACTTCATACACGGTTTTTGTTCATGAAATTCATGTTTCGCTCGATGTACTGCGTGTTTGTAAATACTTATGTACATCTACATACTAAATCTTAATCACATAAACAAACACACATACGCATATACGCATATAATCACATGGTTGACTCCATATTTACCCGCTTTTACGCGCTTTTCTTTCCAATCTTTCCAATCACTCACTCCAATCATCTCGCTGTGGCTTTAAAATCCATTCCACTCAAACTGTGATTACAAAAACAACGAGTTCTCAATGATGTGTCGTTTACGTTATATATACATATATATATATATCTATATACATATACTCATA